AGACACGCAGACTCCCAGCTCTGCCCTCTCAAAGCCAGCCATCCCATCTTGGTCGGGAATATCACTCGCCGCCAGCTCAAGGAGGAACAACAGCGACGATGCCTTACCGCACAACCACGAGGCGTATGAGATGGAGATGAAGGAGAACAACCCTACGAAGAGATTGCGGATAGAAGACCCCATAAGGGCGCACTACGACGGTACTGGGGCGAAGCGCCGTACATCTACGAATCCCGGTAACACCGTATCACTTGCTGTCACACTTCCAAGTGACTCGCTACATCGCCACGACAGAAGCCAAAGAGAATCACCTACGCCTCAACTAAGCGTCATTCCTCAAGAATCGGCATTTTCAGTGTCGTCGTGTTCCACGGCGTCTCACAGCTCGGATTCACACCTGCATACGAGGAGCATTGCCAACATAGGTTTGTCATATGGCCAAATTTCTCCGGGCGAACCGTCTCCGGGAGCCATTTCGTCCGGGAGAAATGATGCAATGATGTCGTTGAACGCCTCGCTTCGCGGTTCCATTCCCAGAGTAACCTACCAGCGGACCACTAGCAATGACGGGCCTCCAGCTTCTCCGCACAAGCCCACAGAAGCGAGCAAGCCTGATGAGCACAAGATCTCGAGGGGATTCTTATGCGACTGTTGCCCGAAGAAACCCAAGAAATTCACTTCGGCCGCGGAATTAGCGTCAGTAACAAGCTTTCAGACATTGCGAGATCATTTGATCATGAGCTGATTATGTGCAGGTCTCATGAAGCCGAAAAGCAGTATGCGTGTTCGTTCTGCGGAAATCGATTCAAGAACAAGAACGAGGCCGAACGCCATCAAAATAGTCTTCATATTCGGAGGCAAAGCTGGAGTTGCTCGGCTCTGAATGGCTATGATCAAGCTTTCCACGATAGTACGAATCGTCCCGGTGAAGCAGACTCTTGTGGTTTCTGCGGTGAGGAGTTTCTCAAAGAAGGGAGAGGCTCAGGGGATCCCGCTTCGCATCACGGCACCGAGCAGGACTGTAAAACGCGTGTCTACCATCTTCGAGAGATCCACAAGTTCCGAGAGTGCAACACGAGCAAGAAATTCTTCCGCGCGGACCATTTCCGTCAGCACCTTAAACACAGCCACGCAGGCACAAGCGGTACATGGACAAATGCGCTAGAGAACGCCTGCATGCTGAATGAGGATCCAACTCCGAGATGAGCCTTCATTTTCCGGGCGTGACTTTTCAACAAGGATTAGCTAGAAGCCATCATTACATTTACACGGTCATACACCGGATTCAAAACCTCGGGACATAGAACCGCGAGTTGGTGTCGACGCGCCCAGCTCATACGTCTGCCCATGGCGGAACGATCAAGGCTAAGCTCTAATTTTTCTTGTCGGCTTATAGGCATCACAAGTTTCAAGAGCGTTCTGTTGAGGCATGCGGGCGGTATTCACAAGTTTGATGTGCTGGCCGGTTGACATCCATGTCTAAGACACCGACTGGTTTCCATTGGGGGCTTCCAATATGAGTTCAACATAATCACCGAAGGGATCGACGGCACGGCCGGGTGCGAACGGCTGCTATTCTTGGGACGGACTTTTTGATGACCAACAACAGTTCGATGATACTGGGCAATAGTCCTCGTTGGAAAGAATTTCGCTCACAGACACGGTTGTCTGCCCTAACCGTCCATACTGGTCTGGGCTCGCGTAATCTTTGTCTTCACACGCACGGTCCGGTTACCGTCCCGGGCCCCATCCGTCCCATACGGACCTGCAAGCTCCCGGGCCTGACCCGCGCCCCACATCGGAACCGCGTCTCGCTGCCCTCCTCTGTACTACCTTACCTTCCGGTCGGGTTAGCATTATCGTCCGAACCCACCGTGTGGTTCGGACCGGGAGTAACAGGAACCACCCTCCCCTTTCCCAACGCACATATACGAAAAAGGCAAGTTGCATAAACCGCACAAACCGCACGCTGGCATTTGGTGACGATCACACGTCCGTCTGATGAGATAGCAGAATTCCATTCAACAAGATTAAACAATCTTTTCCTCGGGAGGCGTAAAAGGGAAAAAAATAAAATAAACAGTGTGCGTGGTACAAAGGTATAACCTAGAAGCCAGGTGAGAAACTGAAAAGCAGCTTGTTACCGGACCGGTGTGAGGGAGGGGAAAAAAGAAGACGTGGGAGTTTGATGGAGTTTTCCGTAAGCCCAATAGCCTACCTTAGACACACTCAAGGTACCAGAAAACAGAAGGTCTCAGGATTCGAGTGATCCCACGTCATCCAGAGAGCCCCTAAACATCGACGCCTGCAACCTTCTCAACCCTGAATTCCGTGTAGCTAGCTAGAGCTCGGGGATAATCTCTGGTGGGCTAGAACTACCTTACGGGCCTTCTTACCCTCCAAGGGTTGGGTTGGGGTTGACGGATGGATTGGAATGCGCTCCTTTTCGGTCGACTTTTGTGCGAAAAGGCTGCGCAACGCAAGGCAACGCAACCACCGTGCCTCCCACCACCAAACGCAACGCGTACCCTGGAATCGGTAAACCTTCATTCAGGAAACCAGTTTGAGACATTGTTCCAGTGCCGAAACATGTCAGCGGAAGCGGACACGGCCGGCGTCGTACAGAGACCTCTTTGACTGACATTTGACCCCGACTTTTCCTAACAAGACTGACTTAACATGTTCCTCCTCTTTTGACTCGAACTCAAATAAGTTTCGACTCGAACTCGACTGCTGATACGCTCCCACCACGTGAACGAAAAACTGCAAGCAGGAAGAAAAGAGGAAATTGCGTGATGCGAACGTGACGAGAACGTGGCTCAACGTCCGCGGCAGGCAGCGCCAAGGGAGAGGACTCCCGTCAGTTGACTTTCGTCATGTGTTAGTGTTGGTCTTGTCGGAGCCCTTCCCTTATGTGGCGCAACTGATTACATCGCGCAACAACTCTTCATAAATATGATGATGATTATCTTTTTCTTTTGTCTAACGCTCTCTCATGCTGATTATGCTCGGTCGACATTTTCCTGTGGCTGTTCGCTCCGCGGTGGGGAGGAATTGAGATAGCTTCGTACCCAAGATTATAACGCACTCGTAACTTCTGTCTGAAAATCTCACACGCGCTTAAATGTAGTTCCCTGACACAAACATTCCCATACATCATCTCCATATAACCATGTCTCGGGTTGGGGGCCTAGAAGCCTGTTCCACCTGCTCACCTGACCATTTCAAGAATAACTCCCGCTGAACTGGGGTAATGGGTTGCCACCGGCCATCTGCGTATAGAAGGGGGGTTTGAGCATGTCCCAGTCACCAATATTGGGCGTGCAGACCATCCCGCCCGTCGTGAATTCCTGAATGTCCTCAAGCATAGTGCCGAATCGCTGACCCTGGTTCTGCTGCACATATGAATCGATGCTGACTATCTCGGCATTGACATTAGCCATCGCAGCCTCGTTTGATAGGGAGCCGGGAGTTGGCGGGAAGCCCTGAGTTGGTGAGTGATGTGGAATGCCTCCGGCATAGCCTTCGTGACCGGCTTGCTGGTGGAATGCGGCGGCGTTGATGGCGGTAAATGACGACGCTTGGCGGGAATCTCTCCGGCTGTCCGACAAGGAAGAGCTCCTTTCCAATGTGCTAGCCCGCGATCCATCGGAGCCGTCGTAGGCTGTTGGCCGGTCGTCGTCCATGATGATGCCATTGCTCGTAATCTTGTCGGCCTTTGCCCTCCACTCTTCCAGTCCGCCGCCACCTCCTCCCAGTCGAATGGGCAGAGAACCATCTCCGCTCTTCTTCAAACCTCGATTTGTGTAGTCGGAGTAGACCTTGGTGAGATACTGATCAATGTCATTGAAATACGTAACGTAATTGGAGGCCATGCTGAAGTAAGGTGCAACCTTGGTCAATGCTTGGAAAGCGATACTGGTGTTCCCCGTCTGCGTGTTCTCAGACATGGCTCCTGAATTCCGTTCTTCGATCTCCTGTTTGGTGACCATGTGGTTTTGAGTATCCATGTGGGGATAGTGCCGTGCGTATATTCCAACAAACGCTGCTTGCCAAATTGCGAATATGACTAGTGACGAATGAGGAAGCTTGTCTCGGCATGTCGAGATGAGGTCGATGATTTCCCTTCCAGCCTTGAAGACCTGCTCTGCGCTGCGCTCCCAGAAGTGGTCGGGAACAGCTTCGGGGCCAAAGACGGGCTCGGCCAGAGGACCAACCGGCTCGGAACATTTGATGGCGATGAACGGGATGTATTCGCGATGCAGCATGATTTTGCACAGGGCACCTAGCATGTGAAGTGACACATACATGCTATTGTCGTGTTTCCAGAAGTTCGAGCTAGACCAGGTGAACTCTTCCGGAAGGTGAGCGTAAAAGGCGTCTACCTTCTTATTCAATTGATAGAAAGTCGACTCTTGGTCCCACGGTGGAAGGGATTCCGTATGGCGGCCGCCCGCGAAACTGTACTTGGTGATATCGCCCCAGAAATCTGCTAGTTGCACGAATCGACTCAAGACACTGTCGTCGATTGGTGGCTCCATGCCATGTCCCACCTGTCGTAAGAATCCGGTATAGACAACGCGGCCTAGGTCAAAGGCGTGTTCAGTGCATGGTAGCTGGATTTGAAGGTCGTCGGACCGAACCATAGAAACCCGATCAGATCCGCAGGACAAAAGACGATCCAGTATCAAGCAACTGAACATGATACGGCGTCTGATCTCCTGGTCTTTCCAACGGTCTGGGGGTAGTTGAGTAGATTTACTCGAGCGAGGAGACAGAGTCAAATTTCTCTTCCCTCTCAAAGGCTTGTCTCCGGACCCCAATTTCAAGCCTTGAGCCATCCGTATGGCAGAACCAACATACATCCATGCCGCCAGTCCGCCGTTCGGCTGGCTCCATTTATATAAACCGAGCATGAGAAAAGCTTGAACACGGACGATAGTAGCTGATGTCAGGGCTGATTCGAGTTGTCCCAGTGCCTTCGTAAGGGCGTTTGCGAAGTACTCTGAGGCCATTGATGGCTCCGGCCTGGGCAGAGCACCGCGAGGTTTTGGGCCCGTGATTTTGTCATGTGTGATGTGTGCCACATATTTGACCAAGTCGGGGTAAAATCTTGCAGTGAGGGCCAGAATGCCCAATAAAATCAGATTTGATTCGGTTGACGGCTTCTTGATGTCCTTGTCGTGAATGATGCCCTTGAGAGTTGGGAGATGTAAGAACGGCAGTTCGGTAGCGAAGTGCAACTTATATATGTCGAAGAGTTGATGCCACAAGTCGACGGTAAGATAGTGTACCGAAAGCACTTCCTGAGCAAGCGCGGCGACAGTACGTCCATCAGAGGACGTGGCATCTTCGAGCTTCTTTACTCGCTTCCGGTCATGCCCGACTTCCCTTTCCTGCTTCGGCGCAGTCGGCGGTTCTGATCGTTTCGCCGGAAGAGGCGTTGGATCAGGAAACTCACACTTGTGTCCTGCCTTGATGCAAGTGTCGCAAGGCGATCCGGTATTGTCGTTGTCGCATTTGATCTTGGATTTCCTGCATCTCAAACAAGCTATGCTAGATCTCATCGGCGGTCGCTTGGCTCTAGAGGGTCTTTTGGCACTTGAGCCTCCCGCCGAGGTCGCCTTCGAGTCATCGCCGTCGGGTATGATGTAAATCTGAGGTATGGCTTCTCCCGGAGCTTGCTTACCTGCCGACTTTGCTGCGTTGAGAGTTGTGGAGGTATCCTCCTCTGAGGCAAAGAGTTTATAACGTCTTCCTTTTGGCGTGGTCTGAGTAGGGAGCGCTTTGGGTTCGTCATCGGAGTCCGAACCAGGAGAGAGCAACGACTCAATGCGAAGTTGGGAAGAAATCGTAACGGTTCGGGTCTGTTATAGACCCGTGAAGCCAGCAAGGGGAGCAGGCGATTGGGCGAATGAATGATAGGGAGGGTAAGATACGCAGAGCTGGAGGACGATGGCCACTATCTGTCGAGGCAAAGGTCAAAGTATTTCAAATAGCACAGTCAAGTGGACACTGGCTGCTGATAGGACGCAACGGATAGGTGGTTGCTTCGAGTGATACACAATGAGTTTCTAAGCGAGATTAGGATTTCAAGATAGCCAAAGGACCTGTAGCCGAATAAACGTGTTCTTTCTGCTTTCTGGAATTGGAGAGCACAATTTCTAGCGGTAGTTGGCGCCGAGAAGCCGGGGTCGGTGGATAATGTTGGAATGAAGAGGGTTTATCTGCTGGAAATGGCCAAGGGCCAAACGAGAGAAGTAGGAGTGTGGGATTGAAAAGTCAAACGAGGTGGAGTGTGACTAACTTAAACAAGAACAATCACTCTAACGCTCACGTGCCCGCGACGCAAGCTGAGGAGGGTGGGAACGTGGTTGTCTTTAGCCACTATATCGTCGGCCCCCGGATTGAGTGTATGCCCGTTTTCAATGGCTAACACTGATAGAAGGTATCTAGGGCCTTCTTGTTCTATTGCTGGTTTGTCGTTTCCAGAATCTGGTCGACCCAAAACACGTTAGGGAATTACTTTAGCCCGAAGCATCTTCGCCTCGTCTGTCCCTGCACGGATTTTGGCCGTAACACACGCGGAAACATTCAGCCTGACGAAAACTCGCATAGGATGGGTCTCAATCTTTCGAAGCGAAGTACCAATGACGAGCGTGCCAACGACTCGAACCTACGAAAATGCACATATTGCAATGATCATACGTTTCCTGTAAGCCCCACGAAAAGCGATGTGGAGCAACATTTCACGGACCGCGGTCACGACAGGCACGACAACGAGCAAACCGATTTAGTAGATAGAACATGGTTACAGTAATATCATTATTCGCAGAGCCGTTTGTTTCAACGCTGACGTTCACTATCTTAGGATCAAGGACCGCCAGCGAACGCGTGCCAAGCCAAACCAGCCGCAACCTCCGCTCGAATCAACTGCCTCAAAACAGGAGCCTATAGACCAAGACGACCCGAGTTCTCATGAATCTGTGGCTGGTCATGACAGTCAAGAGGCCAGCAGCCCATCTTCGGAAAAGAATAAGAGGAAGGATGGGGTTCATGGGTCTTCGCATCCAAAGCGTAGCCGTGCTCGACAGCAACCGCAGGCTTCTGATGCCAGCTATGCTGAGGACACTGACTTCCAAAGAGACCCGGCACACAAGGCTGGTAGATTATGGACTCCTAAGGAAGGAGAATCTGCGCCTCGACGGTCCGATGGCGGGCGATTCAAGGAGAGAGACGGGTCCGATCTCCCCAGAGCAGCTTCTGATCGGTCGTTCGAGCATCCGCGTTCCTCGAACTTTGATAACGCTGAGGTACTAATCAAGCAGCCAAAGACACGCCCTATTGGCCAAGAACAACTTGTTGCCGAGGTGAAGGGCATCTACGCTGGACTCGAAATGATCGAGTTACAGTGCATCGAGGTCGACAACGCTCAAAGTTCAAACAACGAGACCAATCCCAAGCTGAACAATGAGCAGTGGCAGGCATTGATCGGTCTACATCGAACTTTGCTACATGAACACCACGATTTCTTCCTTGCCTCTCAGCATCCTTTGGCCAGTCCGGGATTGCGACGGCTCGCGAGCAAGCACGCAATGCCGGAGCGCATGTGGAGGCATGGGATTCATTCATTCTTGGAGCTTTTGCGTCATCGTCCGCCCGCCTCGCTCGAACATATGCTTACGTTCATTTATTTGGCGTACTCTATGATGACTCTGCTGTATGAGACTGTTCCAACGTTCCAAGACATTTGGATTGAATGCCTCGGCGACTTGAGCCGCTATCGGTCAGTAAACTTAAGACAAGAGATTGTGACCAATATTCTTGTTCCATACGTGTTGACCTTTATTACAGGATGGCTATCGAAGATGATGATCTTAAGGATAGAGAGGTCTGGACCTCAGTCTCTCGCCATTGGTATTCAAAAGCTAGTGATAAGGCTCCTCAGACGGGTCGTCTTTACCACCACCTCGCTATTTTGGCTCGTCCAAATGCTCTGCAGCAGCTCTTCTATTACACGAAGTCTCTCTGCGTGCCACTTCCCTTCCTGTCTGCTCGCGAGTCAACCATGACTCTGTTCGACCCGCATCTCAATGGCACACAGACCAGGCTGCAGGAGATTGACGCAGCCTTTGTACGCGCTCATGCAATACTCTTTTCGGGCAAGAACACCGAGCAACTCTCATCGTCTATCAACGAGTTCATCGACAGCTTAAACAACCACATCGCACATCACACTTGTCGCTGGCTAGATAGAGCATACTACATTTCTATCGCGTTGGGTTGATCACTCCTTGAATACGGTAGCGAGAGCAATCCCATTATGAGAGCCATCCAATCAGGCCGAGCCGACGACGTAGACGTCCCAATGAAAGGGACCGAGACTGTCGTCGCTCCGACACAGAAGTTCCTGGACGCTCTGGACTTTGCCGCTCGTACTCATAACGTTGTGTTGAGACGATTCGGCGACGAGAGTATTCGACCCTACTTACACGTCACCCTCTCATTCCTTCAACACTTGTCTCACTTCCCTGCAGCGATGGAACTGGTAGAAAAGATGATGTCTTGGAAGCTCATCGCTTTACTCCTGAATACTATCATGCACACGAATATGCCTGCTGAAGCATACAAGATCATCGAGTCGGAAGACTTCCCCCGGCCGGATAAGGGTGACCCTCGTCCCCTGCCGGACGACTTTGCGCAGCGGGGCCTCCTATGGGTTGATGAGTACTATCCCAACGATTGGTTTTCGACCACAAAGGTGGATGACGATGAGAAGTATCTCGAATCCTCGTCAATGATGAGCGAGCGCTCAGTCCGCTGCCTTTGGCTAGGTTGTCGACTTGCAACATCGGGCAAGTGGTTGACTTACAGAGAGGGGCACTTTCGGGCTACTTGCGAAGCGAGCGAACTGGGTTTGAAACGGAAGCCGTGGAAGTTGTAAGGTGTTCTCGGCATGTGACTCACTTGGTTGAAATTCATAGTACAAAGGATATTCACGGTGTCACGGGGATCTTTTTCCTTTCTTACATTGTTATTGTTTGGATGAATTCATCTTGGGAAAGTTTCACGGAGTATTAGTCATGCATTTATCATCCCCAATACGGCTCTTGTAACAAGATACGAACAGTGGACGGCTCTAGAAAGAGCACTATCCCAGATTCAAGCTCCATCCATGTCGGTCTTGTGTGTTAGTCAAGCTTTGACCGAAGTTGCGAGGCCTCGTGATTCGTGAGTACCATCCTTATGTGGGGCAAGATTATACACGGGCGGAAAAGCATTAAGCCAAGGGCGGTGTGATGGATTTTGGATCGAGGCTTTGTGACTCGAAAAGGAAGAGCCCCTGAAAGGCCAAGCACTGACTACACGTCCCTGCGTGAAAGTCAACACGGAAGGATTGACAAAGATTCTATCATACCAGGATTGCCAGATGGTGCGAGCTCATTGCGACGAGTTGCTGGGGTTAAGTTGCAGGCTACAGCAGTATACAATGCATTGTTATCGCACTGCAAGTGATGTCTTGATGAACTGTGTAAGGCAAGGACTTGCTCCCTTCGCACGAAGACTTTACGGCTTGGTCACGATAGAGAGCATCACGACGCAGTACGCGTTACTTTCGTTATTCAGCGAGACCAGAGGTCTTGGTTCATCTTCGGCGCCCAAGAATACGACCAGTTGCCCCTTTTGTTATCGCTGGCAGCTAGAGAATCATGTTTTTCTCCATGTTTTGCCTACATGTATCGAGTGACCTCGAGATCGATCGTTGGCTTCTCGCGCAGCAAGTGACAGATTCAGCTACCTATGAGGTTCATTCACCACCGCAACCGAGAATTACCGAGGCCAGACCAAACAAAATCTTGCACTGATTGTTGACGGTCAGTCGTACCCGATAGTTCCGATCCAGGCCAACCCGGTGTGTCGGTGCTCAGAGAGCAACCCAGACGCGTTGGCTGATAACTCTGTGAATACCAGGCGAAATCTCTTTCTCTTACCAAAGAGAAAGTCCCCAAGTTCCTCGGGGTCCAGCTCGTTCAAGTCGTCGAGCCGCTGACGCAAAGCGGCATTTCTCTGAAAGTTCGCCTTGCCCTCAACGGCTTTCTTAGTTAGGTAATACGACAACCACGAGGGACCGTTGAATTTGAGGGCTTCCCCGATAGGACCCTCGGTGTTGAGGTAGGCTTTGAGGTAGCGATAGGAGCCACGGCTGAGGTGCGGGACACGTACAAGCACCCAGACAGGCAGTGGTTTCGCGTGTTTCCCGCTGCAGCGACACTCGACAGGTCAACTCAAGCGGAGCTGCCCAAAAGAGGTAGCTGATCTGGGGAAGGTGAATCACACATGGGCTGTGAAGAATCCACCGTATCCTGGCAGGCTTATTTCTCCCAGAGGGCAGGGAAGGTAATCTGACAGGGGTTTGCGTATCGTTGACAAACAACCACATGATTGAGTTGAATCGGGCTTGCTAGGCAGTGTGTGATTGGTGGTCTGGCACGCGCAGCGGCCCCTATTGCGGCGCAAAAGCCACCCAATTTGGGGTGCTTGGAAGGCGAGCAGGCGATACGACACCCTTGTTCGCGGATAATCGGGTCGTGTCGCGACTTCCAGGCTTGGTGTCATGTACACTGTACTTGGTGTTGTGTTGAAGGACGCTCCAGGGGCTTGATACTTGTCAGCATCAGCCAACGAATCTGAGGGGCCATCCTCACACCGAGATTTCAATTGCACCGTTCAGCTACATCGTCAGGAGAGGAAGAAGTTGACCGTGTCTCGGACCGTTGAGGTGTGAGACAACGCGGGATTACCCAGCCAGTTGAGCGCTGACAGCTACTCCCGGGCAGAGGTCGGATTTTGGAGCTTTGTAACTTAGGGGCAGCGTCTGTTATATTTAGCCGTCACTGCTGGGGGCTCGTTTGGGCGGGCACTGCTGATTGAGACACTTTATAGAAGTCCCGGTTACATCGGTGAAAGGCTAAACGGGGCAGTGTGGGAGAAAGAGAAAGAACCGGCCTCACCTCAAATAGAAAGAACGGTTGCTTTAGTCCCACTCAGATCGTTTATCTTCCCACAGGAGATCATGCACCTTTTTGGCCATCACCCGCCTACGTATCTCTACTCCCTACATAGAGACTCTTCAAAGCCGGAAGGCTGCCAAGACTAGGGAGCGTAGCCTCCAACCAAATCACAAGCCCTCGGCCGGCCCAATTCATCAAAGCAATCTTCTAGGAATGCGACCTCAAACCTTTGGTCCGCGTCGAACAATTCTTCTGCCGTATCTTGAAAATAGAGTTAACGAAAATCCTGGCCGTTGTGCAGATCCTACAGGCAAATACTTGAAGTCACAACTGGCGCCTGCATTGCGGATCCATCAACTGAATACCAATGACTTTATTGCCTCAACATCAATAAACAGCGCTACTTGTGCATATTGAATCTTGATGTAAGCACTACCTTCAATCTCCGCCCAGACCCGGTGGCGTATGTTGAAACGAATCAGTATTTCGTTCCTTTCGGTCGTTCTGAGTGGCATTTACGAGGATGACAGCAGGTCTGAGGAGCCAGGTCATTCTATAATTGAACAGAGCCCATTGGTCACATCAGGTCTAAGCTCTGTGTTGCATTTTGCGGTCTTCTTGCATTGGAAACAAGCAAGGACCGATCGATCACAGCCTACGACCAAGGTTCCCTCCGTGACCCAGTCTTTGGCACCATGCAAGATGAAATATCCAGATGGAGCCGCGAATGGCTTCTTCAAAGTTGATAGAAACTCAACTGGGTCTTGCTTTACTCTGTAAAGATTACCGTTGTGGATTAGTCGAGCAGGCGGCATAATGCCGAGCTCCAGGTTCTCGCAGAAACACTTCGCCTCCTTCGCTCCACCCGCCTCGAGCGAGGGTTGACCCGGAATTCCAGAGTTCGGAGCCGTATGCGATGTGAGGCAAATTCTTGTGCCATCAGGTTTTGGCGCGACGTGTCCAGTGTCAGAGATAGACTCGTCGGATCTCGGAGGATTGGCAGCTTGATGTCTCGAAGACGACTTGGAACTGTCAGTATCTGCTAACAAACTCAGAAAGTCCAACTCACATGAAGGCGGCTTGCGCCGCCGAACCGGCCCGGAGTCTCAGCGCCATGTAGTACATGTTCAGTGTATTGGATCGTGGATGACATCGATAGTTCGACATTGGAAAATGAAATGATGTGTTGCGTGCGCCGTTCACCATCTAGACTTTTGTCATGACGTCCCTCAATCATTCTGTGCGAAGAATCATCGCTGATTGGAGGAGGTTGTGGTATGAGAGAAGGTGACGGCATGGTCGGCGTCGAAGAATGATGTAGCCAGAAAGAACGCGTTGAGAATCTGAACGGACTGGTTTCTATGGGTGAAGAGTTTGAGATACAGCTTCCGGAGAGAAATTTATCGTGTTCTTGGAGGTCATGACACTGTCTTATACGATGAAGCTCAAGGCCTAAGGCAGGCTGGGTTGGTAGCATGTCTGGTGCAGCGGTATGACGGGACAACGACAAGCAAGGGTCACGATGAAGCAACTTAGGCTTTCTGAGAGCTATCGTCGGTGAGTAATTATGACTGGATCGTTTGGATAGTACCCACAGGTGAACCTCTAGCGGCGAAGGTAGATGTGACAACGTACGTATACGTGCGTATGAGCATCTGTCAGGCTCTTATCTCACCGACCTATTACACCCCTTCTGCATCCTCTGACAAGGAAAATGGACCCCGAACCAAGGTGTATCAAAGTATGTCAATCACCATATGGGCGGGAGGCGAGTTCTCGACCTAACTAGTCTACATCAAATGCAGTCCGCCACGGCTGCCTGATGACTAGCCCCATGTGCAATCAAGGCGCAGTTAGTTATGGACCGGCAATGGCAGATGTGATAAAGATGGTTCGACACAAAATGCACACGCCCTCTCTCCCCTAACCTACGCGGCTGCTGGTTGTAATCCTAGGACCCAGGGCACCCTGACCCCTGACCATTTCGAAGTCGGTGAACTGCCAGCATGCATGCACAGCCAGACCTGAGTCTGACACTCCGCTGAATGCAGCCCGATCCCTGACTATTACCCAATGAGTGCAGAGCCACGACCAATAGAGATGAAATCCAGCCATGTATGAGTGACGATACCTCACTCCGCTGTGCATGGGGTGACTCATTTGAACTTTTGAGGGCATAGGGAATGTGCGAGAACGAAACAGCGTCTGCCACATTCACCGGTCTGCCTCGCCATAATTACCATGCATACTGCCAGAAGCTTGGCAGCTTGGCCACATTAACTCAGGCTATCCCACGCACCACGCCAGTACCTTGCCGCAGGCTGATCGATGGTGCGGACTAAGCCAGGAATCAGGCGGTGTGAATAAGGCCACAGTAAGAAGAGCCTCGATATTTTCGCCCGTATCTCGCTGTACTCGTTTGGCATGCGGCATCAACGCCATATATACCAATCAACACAGTTGTACATCTGTGATGTTGGACATCTACTTTGTCGAAGCCGCAATTCATCGTTCGTTGTGCCCTTTGCCTCAGCAGTGTTGTAATCAGGGCTTTACAAGACCTTTTAGCTACCACGCTTCATGCCAGGTCGCATTCTTATTCAGCATGGCAGCCGTAGAGCTTATCAAGGATCATTTCGAAATCACCTGCACAATAAACGTCCATGCTGTGCTATTCTACCACCCTGAGGAGCTTGCAGCTATTCTCCTCCACCATCCAGACGCAGACATTGCTTTCACCTCCCTCAGTGTTCATGCTGGGAGGCTCAACGATGAAGGAAATTTCCATGGCATAGCACTTCCTCTGTACCATGCGCGATGCCAAGACACCGGTTACTTCTTCGCGCTGAGTACCTGTCTCGCGCCTCATGGTGATTAACATAGCAGAGGGCACCGCATCACCTTTTGGTTGATTAGCTCTACATATCTATGGCCCGTAACAAGAATGACACGCGGCCTGAGGTGGTTAACTTGAGAACGAACCGATGACTAGCGGACTCGCAGGCCTGACTTCGCCGTTTGAGTGCCATCTCCAAGGAATCATGCGCTCCTCGCTGAATTTGAGTGGCTTCAACGATGACAGGGTCTTGTACAGGGACCCTGGGTCTCTTTTTCCTCGTTTCTGGGGGCAGCACCTCAACGTTCGCAACCTTGGCCCCCTTATATAAGTATGCGGCTATCTTATTGCCTGGGGGCATGTTCCGGTCGCGATTCTCGCCACCAAGTTTTCCAAACACAGTTGAGCTATACAATGACAGTCAACATCACAAATTTCTTCATGCGAAATCTCCCATGTATTGAGTTTTCAATTGCGGAAGAATCTTGCATCTAAAGAGTAAGCCAGAGCTTTGAAAGCGCACCTGTTGCTGCATGAGGCCAGGTTTCCTTCCGCGTTATGACGGTTTAGCGAGTTGATCAATATCTGCAACGAAGCTAATAGACTCCTCTCAGGCATACGGTCAACGTCAGAAATCCAAGAAAAGAAGCAGTATGGCCGTTCCATGTGCGGAAAGATCTCTGAGTGCCGAGCAGAACTCAACTCCTGGTGCGGAAGCCAATCATTTCGAGACCGCGGTCAGCCCGAGCTGGCTGGATCAGAAGTCTCGATACATCTTGAAATTACAGACTTAAGTTGCTAATCTAGCTCCAGCCCTTTGTGCTCTGCCATACGATTCTTTCGAGCACGATCGTACTATTCTTGCTGCAGCTTCGGAGGGAGATGCTGCGCTATATCCCGAATTCAAGTTCGAATTTCCAATGACCCATTGGGTGGTCTACCTACTATTCGACTCGGGTAAGTTGATCTACAACGGTCTGTCGGAACCCTATTGTGTGCCCCTTGATCGGGTGCATGGTTTTGGTGACCCGATGCTTCAATCTATGAAGGAAAATCAATGCCTCCGTTCAGAGTGGGGTTGTCACGAAAGGTACCCCAACGCTCTGACGATGGAGCTCGGAAAGACGACGATGTGAGCAAATTACCTCACTCCATTGAGTTGCTCTAACTATGAGACATTAGTCTGATTTTCTACGTGGCTTACTTGGATTTTCGCCCTCTCAATCCTTTCACGTGAAGGCGCTGCACTGGGACTACTGAGCACTATAGATCGGGCGCGTCCGAACTTTTGACAATGCGTCGTGTTAGCGATGTAGAAGACATCACATATGGTATTCCACAAAGAGGTCAAGTCTGGCAACGAAACGGGACATGGCGAGAGCCGGGAATTCGAATGCTCGAGGAAACGAGAGACAGGCTCAAAAGCTGTGCCTAGCATTCATGACAGCATCGGGAGAGCGCGCATTAGTCAGGCCTTGAAGCTCTCCAACTTGTCAACTTATCTCTTGAGCAGCACCAATTCCATAGATACCCCGATCATCGTCTACTTGAACTTAGTCGTGGCACCTTTGGAACCAGTATCGTTCACATGCCTTTGACCTTCCCAGTGCGCACTGCCTTGCGTGATGTTCAGTTCCAACGGCCCACATCTTCGAAAGCGGGCTTCACTTTGTGTTTTTTATTCTATGATTTACCATTTGCCGTGCCACTTCGTGCCTGAGTCGTCTGCGGTCTATCCGAAGATATGCTGAGTGCGCTCGTCGCGAATGCATCGGAAGGTTGTCACTCTTGTATATACAAATACTACCATTGTTTCCTGCCGCATCATCATGAATCCATAATTACTTCAGCTTGATCCGTAAGTCACTGCGCGTCTGTGGAAATAGTAAGGCCCCCGCGGTCCCAATCGAAACCGCGCGAGTGAAATAACTGTTCGGATTTCGTCGCTATAGTGACTCCAGGGTCCCCATCTCGCGACCATGCACGTCACCATCCCTTTGTGTTGAAACCGTCGAGATCGGCCGTGTGAACAGCGAAGTATAGGGTATCGATGGACCTATCCTTCCTCGTGGTGGTCCAGGCGATCTCGGAATACTGCTTCAGGTTCGCGACGTCATGGGAGGCATGACGGCGCTTGAGCACTGGATTGGTAGTAGCTGACTTCTGTTGGCGCTCCCAAGACACATTCCGTCGGACAGGCTCAGGTAGCTCTGTCTTTACCAATTTTCGTCGTGTGTTTCGGGGGATGAGGACGTCTTGGAAGTTGCGGCTAGCAGTCTTGGAGATAGACCGACGAGCGGACCGTGGCACCTCGGTGACAGGCTTCAGAGACTGCGAGCGGTTTCCACGCTTCATCATCAATGGGGCGTCGTCGGAATCGTTAAGAGAGACGGCCAAGGTAGACGGGGCCGGGTGGCTGTCACGAGACCAAGGGATTACTGAGGTAGACCGAGAGGCAATATTGCCTACCCCTCCGCGATTGTTCTGCTCAACGATCATCATGGAAATAAGAGAGCAATGCGAGGTCGCCTTATCGTTGATTTCGACACGTTGGAAGACAGTCTTCTCGTCAACGCCAGACTTTTTCTCTTTCTTGATCGAGTCTTTCCACTCGGAATCATCATCAATTGCGCATTCGTCAACGCAGTCGGTGTTTGAGTTTTGGTGGAGAAAGGCTTCCGACTGGCTTGTAGGATTCTGGCGACGATTCGAGGTAACGTCGCTTTTGGGGGGGCCTTTGGTCTTGCAGTCGCCGACGGGGGGTTCGTTGTGCCTTTGTACGGGAGGCTGAGAAGTTGTCCGCACGTTGCCCTGAGACTCCTTGTCGGATTCGAGGCCGCCCAAGGTCTTCTCGCTTGCCTGAATACTTTTGGTAGCCGAGGAATGGCTGGACCCAGAGAGAGCAGCCAGGGATCTGCGAGGTGATAGCAGAGGGCGGGTTTGACAATCTTGTGAGCGTGTCAAACCGCGAACAACGATGGTGAGGGACCCAGTATTAAACGACCGAGTTTCTTGGAGATGCTCCTTCTCTGAGGCCTTGCCAGAATGCTTGGTGACACCAATCGCGCATTTCTCATGATCAGACGAGGAGGAGGGAGAGTCGACGCTGTGAGAGAGTTCGGGGACAGCTTGTGAGCGTATTGGTAGACTGTAGGTGGCGATGAAAACTTGATGCTCAGCACTGAAAGACAACCTGATGTCTTCGTGATGAAATCCTAGCA